TGCAAGTCCTTTTTGTGTCTATTCATCAATTTATTTGTTTTGCAGAACTGGGAATCAAAACCAGGGGCACTTTACCACTGAGCTGTATCCCAGCCCTGATCAATCGATCGATCTGTCTGTCTGTCTATCTATCTATCTATCTATCTATCTATCTATCTATCTATCTATCTATTATTTTGGGACAAGTCTCACTAAGTTGCCCAGACTGGCCCTAAGCAACTCAGCGAGACCCTGACTGTAAAAAAAAATATAAAAAGGGGCTGAGGATGTGGCTCAGTGGTTAAGTCCCCCTCAGTTCAATTCCTGGTGTGGTGGAGCAGCAGGGGGGATACATTTGCTTTCCTGTAGGAGATTTCCTTGATAATGAAAACAAACTTCTCTCTCTCTTTCTCTCTCCATATATATAAAGATCTGGACCAGAGAGTCAGATTTACCAGGTTATACTCAAAATTGGGTAGCAGATTGCACGATCCAAAGTACCAGCCTCTCTAAGGGTTAAAGCACGAATAGGAGTCTCACCATGGTCTGTGCTGCTTGCCAAATTGTGCTGCATTCTTTATTCAGGCCTAGTCTGGAGAAAGCCAAGTCGTAACTGGCTTGAATTTAAAGGTTGAAGCTCCAGTTTACTCTCAGAATGTGAGAATCAATGTGGCTCACTTTTGTTTTTGTTTTATTTAGTCTTCTTATTTCTTATCTGTGTTCACCGTTTTCTATAGCAATCAGAAAACATTCAGATTATTTGCACACAGAGGAGACAGGCAGAGATGAGACTGCTTACGTACACTTGGACTCCTTTGCCTCCTTTCTTTTCTCGTAAGTCATATCAGGCAGCCGTTGGGGCCTGACTTTTCTATCCAGAACATAAATGCTGAATTGAGTTAGGAAGGACTTAAAGCTGCCAAAATGCCTAAGTGACACAGGCGTTTCCTGCAACATTCCTGGGTTGTGGCTTTGACCTGAAAATCAGTCTTAAGCTTTTTATATAGCAGAACATACCTGTAAGTTTTATAAATGCATGCACTTTTAAAACCTAACTAAAATATTATAGTTTTCTAAACAGCCAACCAAGGAGCCCCTGGGCATGGTGGCACACATCTGTAATCCCCGCTTAATGGGTAAATGAGGCATGAGATCACAGATTTGAGGTTCACCTGGGCAACAACATAGCAAGACCCTGTCTCAAAATAAAACTTAAGACAGCCGAGGCTACAGCTTAGTGGTAGAGTGCTTGTCCAGCATGTGTAAGACCCTGGGTTTAATCCCTAGTACCCCCCACCACGCGCACACAGAAAGAAAAGAAAACAAGGAATATCCTGGAGAGGGAGTGTCTTTTTAGTACTGTGGAGGGGGGGGGGAGAAAGAAAAGATGAAGTTCCCTGATATCATGCATCTGCTTCTGCCTTATTTGTGTCTCCTTAGATCACATGACTTCTTTGAAAAGTCCTTATTTCTCATAACATGCGTCCTCACAGTCACTGATATTTCACGTGTTTTTCGTGTGACCAATAAGAATATATTAGTCATGGAAGGTAAAAAGGCCTTCAGAGAAGTGTGATTATTAATGTGTACAGTCCTTAAAATGTAGTTGAGAAGACATTGGACACAGCAAACAGTACGAATACAATAGCTAAAGTACGGGTTCCAGACTGGAATAAGAGCACAAACCCTCCATGTGGATTCAAAGGATCCCTGTCCTGGCACTGCCAGTTAGCGTCTGGGTGACTCTGCAGGCACCAGCTGCTCGGTGATAACATGAAAATCTGTTTTCCTCCCGTCTTTCTCACCAAGTCTCTGGGAGGGTTCAGTAATTTTTAGAATACCGAGTGCATAAGAAACCCTCGATAATTGCTTGTTGTTAATGATGAAGTACAGAGATATTTCTCAAGGCAGTCTTAGAGGATGTATTGTAGCTTGATTTTTGTATAGAAACGAAAGACAAATGGATTAGTAAAGCAATGATAGATTGACAATGAAAGGGAAAAGGACTGAAATTTTAAAGTCGTGCATGAGAAAAAGAGAAGAAAACCATTTAACCAGAACAGCACACAATTCAGGGGACAAATGGGACATTAAAGACATTTGTGGCTTGTTCTCATGGCACTTTCCACATTCTCCATGATTTCCCTACATTACATATGTGAATTCTGTGTTGTCTGTAAACTCACTTGGTATCTTGAAATGTGATTCATTAAATAAAACTTGAAAGTACCTAGGTACCATCATGCACTCCTCTCACATGACAGGGCCATTAGTAGCTCTGAGGGTTTCTTCTTTTCTTTTCAGTTTGAAGATCTTTCTCCTTGTTGGAGAAGACCATTGCAAGATAGGCATTGAGTGTCTTTTTTATTTTTTTTTTAATCTATTAACATTACTTTCTCTTCCTTTACAAATAGTAGGCTTGTTCCTGCCTTGTTTTTCTTCCCCTAAGCGTAAGTTTTAAAAGAGGCTCCAGATGATTTCTCATAGACCTCTGATAATTTTCAATCACAGCCATCAGGCCAGTGTTCATCCAAGCTTAGGTAACGTTCTCACTGACCTCTATTAGTTACCATTTTGTGCTTCCCATTTTAAAAGTTGATACATTGGCCCAGCATGGTGGCGCACACCTGTAATCCCAGCGGCTTGGGATGCTGAGACAGGAGGATTGCCAAGTTCAAAGCCAGCCTCAGCAACTTAGTGAGACCCTTTCTCAAACAAACAAACAAACAAAAAAAAGGGCTGGGGATGTGGCTTAGGGAGTAACCACCCCTGGATTCAACCCCCCAGTTCCAAAATAAAAGTTTGACATATTGGCAGATCTTCAGCATTTTAAGACCAAATACAGATGGACTCTCAAAATACAGCCCTGAGATTTTACTTCTAAGGATCCAAGAAAGGATGCCATTGCTAGTGCTGTTGGAGGTGAAAAGTGGCATGGTTTGGAGGAGAAAGGACAGTTGGGCGTGACTTGACAGGCAGCTGATATATGGACTAAAGAAAATGTGGGAAACCACAGTTAGATAGACACAGCAGTCATTCGACCTTGATTATTTAACCACACACACAGATAGGACTCCAAGAGTGCTAAGTTGAGGAATGGCACAGTGACCACTGGGAGATAACCACAGCAAAGGAAATCAGGAGGAGGCTGAGAAACTGAGGAAAATGGGTTTTTTTGGAAGAGGAGGAGTGAGGACAGCTAGTGGGTAGACACCAGCAAACCAAAAATAATTCTAAAGTTACTTTGTAATTATTCAATATCACATCATCCATGTCAACTGAGACATTCAAGGACGTGTAGCACCCAGAGCCATATCCACATACTCCAAGTAATGTCAGCTTACATACATGTGTGTGATGAGCACGTCTCTGCTTTTCTCTAGTTGAGTTGCCCAGCTTGTGACTTTGCAGTCTGGGGTGCTAGAAGATCTCCGGCTGAACTGGAGAGTTGACAGGTGTTCAAACTCCACTCTGTTTCCTAAGGCTCTCTTGTTTTTCTTCTCCTAAAGCATAGGTTTTAAACGAGGCTCCTGGTTATTTTTCATATACCTCTGATAACTCTCTGTATCTTTAAAAGGGACAGAGGTGAAGGCAGTTGTGGTCACAGTACAAGAACACCTCCCTAGGAGGTGGCAGGCTGGCAGGAGCCTGCTGTGACCTGAGCAGGTCACTTAACCTCTTTGGTTCTCCAGGGAAATCACATTTTTTCCTAAACTTACCTTCTGCCTCTTGCTCTTTTTGAAGGGCAGCGTGCTGTTGGGAGTTTAAAGAGCAGACATCTTTTAGAAAAAATGTCTTATCATTTTGTAGGCCCTGGATAACATGAGGGGTTAGGGAGTATATCTTGCCCAAAATACGATTACTCACATTTTAAACTACACCTGCCTCATTTCTGAATAAACTCAATGTGTTAATTATTTAACTTAGAAAATGGGTAAAGAACTGTCATTTTAGCCTGAATCTTTTGAGATACTGGGATTGAACCCCGGACCTTATATGCATGCCAGGCAAGAGCTCTACCACTGAGCTACATTCCCAGCCATCGCCTGAATCATATCTTAAGAAAGTTTTTGATTTCAATAGATGAGGTGCTACATATCAGCCTCTGACCAGCAAATTCTAACTTACCATCTGGTAGATGTCACCTCAACTTTGTAAATTCTAAGAATAAATGAAATTTGGTACCACTGAGAACAGGGTAACTTAAATTACTGATCCCATGATTTTGCGACTCTGGCATCCAGACTTCTAATGGGGAAAGGTGTGAAACCAACAGCTGCAAACAGGGTACTTTTCACAAGGTTTTTGGCAATTCTTATAGGTGAAAATGACAGGAAAATGATGGCAACTGCATTTCTGCTTTCCAGTACATTGTGCTGAAGCTGGACAATCACCAGTGCCAGAATATAAACATCTCCTCCTTGGAAGATGAAGTCACTGGGCAGTTACTATGTATCCAAGGGACACAGACCAATGTTGGTCTTAGGTTAGCAAATATTGTAGTGGCCACCTGCTTCTGTACAAGGTCCTAGTCAGGAGGTGCAGGAATAGTCAGATTTGGGTTTTAAACCTTCTGTACCAAATGAAAAAAGTAGTATCGTAGGGAAGCAGGCCTTCATACTTTCTCATGAACACCAAACTTCATACATCTCACTGAGGGATTTTGTCATGTTTTATTGGATCCCGTTTTCTAAGTCATGTTAGAAGAAAAACTAACAGGGCATGTGTTTTTCCTCACTTCCCTTAAATAGCGATAACCAACCCGGCTGGTTTCCCACTAAAATACTGCCACCCCTTATAACCCTTGACTCCTTACCTTGTCGCATGGGCCTTCCTCCTTCCCCTTGTGCTGAGCATGAATGATGTGTAGCAAGGTTGGAATATTTTCCACAAACAATTTATGCCTTGGAGATACAACATTTCTGCATAGGGCTCTGCTGCCTTTTTTTTTTTTTAACAGAACCCTTTTTTCCAGTTTAAAAATAACATTATATTAAGAGAGTCTTCTTTCTACCAATTAGGTCAAAGTCCTAAAATTTTAAGACCCAAACCCCATGGTTTAGAGCGAACTGATTCACAAACCATAGGTGACTTTGCTACAAGAAGAAAGGGTATGTACTTTAGCACCGCATGCTCTCTGGGGCGCTGGGAATTTTATTATTTCATGTTTTGTGTTTTGTTTTTTTTTCTTAAAAAAGCAAACAAAAGAGGATCCTTAAATACTACTGCTGTTGCAAATAAAGCTTCCCAAAGCATGTTATTTCTAAAGTGAATGCTTTTCATAATGTACTGATTCTACTTAGCCATTAACAGCAGCATGTTAGATATTAGATAATATGTGATATTCAGTCTTGTCTTATTCTTTTAATGTTTTACGCAATGAAACATTGTTTTCTTTAAGCTTGTGAACTGCTTGTGATTCCCAGTTATCTTATACACACACACACACACACACACACACACACACAAATTTTATTTCCAGGTATTTAATTATGCCGTTACTTAGATAAATTACTATTAGCCTTTGGGTGTCAAAAGAATAAAACACTAAAAATTATAAAATACATTCAGTCAGCTTAATTCTGTACATGTCTAAAGTAGACACGCAAAACTGTTTTAACTCAATTTTAGTAAATCAACCTGCATTATATTTGAGTTAACAAAAATACCTATGGGCCCCAGGGAGTCTATATAGTCTTTTGAAATGACTACCTATTTTGTAGTTTGATGGTAACTGTAACCAAATTGATTAAAATTTCACATACATCAATAAAGACTAAGGAAACATGGCAAAGTGAATGTTTTTCTTGAAAGTAGCAAGATGAAACATGATTGAGATATTTATTCAATGCATCTGAGCAGTTTTCTATAATATAATTAATATTTAAAAATGGTATTTTCATTTTTCTGCTTACTCTGTACCTTTCTGAAAAAACATTTCAGTCTTGACTTTAAGGAATAGGCCAAAAACTCTGGTACAAATTAGTTCTAATAACTGTTTACTGCAATAATGAGGTAAATAAGTAAAGGCCTCTAATAAATAAAGCTAAAAATAAGCATTACTTAATTTTACTTAATTTGGTAAAGGATTCATTGGTTAAATTAAGCTAAAAGTTTGGAGTGATTGTTTAAAATAATTATGGCCTTAAAGCAGAATTTGAGTCCAAAGATATAATTTACTCTGTATTGTTTCCAGATGGTATGTGAATTGATTTAAATGATTTGATAATTAATCCTTTTGGTTTTAGCAAAATTTTGTTCTGGATTTTTACTAAATTTTTGGTTTTAATACTCCCTATGCATCATTTTACCTGCTTAGTTGTGTAACTGATGCTTCCGTATTGAAGAATAGTAACATTTTTATGTAGATGATTACATTTCTATATTGAGGATGAAATTAGTAAAAGAATGAGTGAATGAAATAATGAAAAGTATAAATCAAGCAACTATAAAGGAATTGGGTCACATTACTTTTTCTTGTAAACATTTAGATTACACTCACAAAACATTAAATTAAGAAGCAACATGCATGATGGAGCTTAAAACAATCATGAAACATATTTTTTCTAAGCATTGAGCTGTGTCACATCATGTAATATCCATGAACTGTGTTTCATGTGTGAAGCTAGCTGGTCTCGGGTATATTCTATTATATAAAAATTGAGATGCAGAGGATCTTGTTTGCTTCCCAAAGTTCTATACACCCAATTCTTCCCTTCTCCCTTTCTTTTCAGCCAAGCCTGCACCTTTAGAAATAAAACCTTTGCCAGAATGGGAAGAATTTCAAGCTCCAGTTAGATCTCCCATCACGAGGAGTTTTGCTCGAGAGTAAGTACTTTATAAATACATAGTGTAAGGGCTGGGGTTGTGGCTCAGTAGTAAAGCACTTGCCCTAGCATGTGTGAGGCACTGGATTCAATCCTCAGCACCACATTAAAAACAACTAAGTAAAATAAAGGCATTGTGCCCATCTACAACTAAAAAATATATATTAAAAAAACACATTGTATAACATACTATCTAGAATTTTCATTATTAAGAAATTTATCTAGATTTTTGAGGACTCTGTATCAAAACTATTTTCATTAAGATACCAAGATGTCATTTGCCTTTTCCATTCTTTGTGTGCAGTGGAACTTTCCAGATCATGTGAGTTCTCATGATATGTCATGATATCATTGTGACAATTAATGTGCATTTGTGTACTCTTGTATTTTAAAAATATTTCTATTTTCATTTCTGATATGATAAATATCAGTAGAATAATTCATATTAAGTTGAGGTTCTTAATATTTTTAAGAGTATCAAGGATTCATGGGACCAAAAATATCTGAGAACTACTGATCTGGAAAATATAGTAGTTTCTTAGGGGATTACTTAATTGAGATTTATTTACATATACATATGGGGAAAAGAGAATAATTTTACAAACTTAGGAACGTGCATTTGTGTTATATGTATACCTAGAGGAAGTGTTTTTAGAAAATAGGAATTCTTAAATCTTTTTATATTGATATGAAAGTTTTTACTTCTCTACACATCACTAGTAATAACTTATCTTTTGTTTGTATTACACAATATAATTTGACGTCCAAATCTCCTTTTATAATACATCTATGTTAGTTGCATTTTAATGTATATAATAAATTCTGTTGTAATTAATGTGTACAATCAATGTAAATGAATATTTCAGAAGGCATGCACACCTTCATTTTTATTTGGGGGAGTGATTTCAGAAGTTTTCATCAAGGTTTACATATATGATGATAATTTCTGTGATTAGCTCCTCTAGGTTTCCCTTGTCCCCACGACCGGATTCAGTGCACAGCACAACGTCAAGCAGTGACTCACATGACAGCGAGGAGAATTATGTGCCCATGAACCCCAACCTGTCCAGCGAAGATCCAGTATGTAAACTCTTTGCCTGATCCTCTCCTTTCCTAAGCGGTGTTTTGCTCTAATTTTCCTTCAGTCTATAAACTTTACCCTCATGTCTCTTTCTTCCAGTACTTAAGGGAACACAACCAAAGACAACTTGGATAAAATCTAAAACCAGTAAAGAGTCAAAATTTAATATAACTGTAAATCATTGAAAAACAAAAGTTTCTGATAAATCAGCTTTCTATTACTATAACAAATACTTTTTAAACTAATGAACTTATAAAGAGAAAAAGTTCATTTGAGGTCACAGCTTTAGAGGTTGCAGTCCAGGATTAGTTGGCTCTGTTTCTTTGGCCTTTTGTAGTACATCTTGGCAAGAGTAAGTGGCAGAGCCAAACACTCACCTCATGGCCAGAAAACAAGAGAGAACAAGAAGGGAGACCAGGATCTCAATCCCTTCAAAGGCATACCCACGAAGACCTCAAGAAATATAGTAGTTTCTTAGGGGGTTACTTAGTTGAGTTTTATTTAAATACAAATAAATCATAAGAATCATTTTACAAACTTAGGAACATGTATCTGTATTATATGTATACATAGAGGAAGGTTTTCTTTAAAAAAATAGGAATTCTAAAATTTTTTAATATTTATATGAAAGTCTTGTACTTCTCTATGCATCACTAAGCCCTCTAAGCTCTGCCTCTTCAAAATTCCACCACATTCCAGTAGGACTACAATCAGGACCAAGCCTTTAACGTATGGGCTTTTGGGGGTGCATTTCCTGATCCATCTATAGCGGTTTTCTAGAAGTACTTCATTTAAGATGTGCTCAGTTTTTGATACTCTTCAGAAAAATATACTGGAAGTATTCGATAACGTCTTTTTCCAGGCCCAAGCAATGACATTCTTGTGGTGAGAAGGTCTTATACGGGAGATTCTTGATAATCTTTCGAGAATATACCCTTGGGCTTAAAGATTAAAGAAGACCTGTTATAAACATAATATTTTTAAGGTTGGCTGTATTGCCACAAGGCATGAGAACTTTATCATAGCAGCAAATGTTTTGTTTCTCAGAAATCTAAAAAAATACTTCAGATGTTTCAGAATAAAAACCAATTTTAATTTTTAAAAATAATTCTCTTTTGCTTATTCTCTTATTGTATCTTATTATATAGAGTATCTACTAGACCTATTTAGTATCTACTAACCTGTTTAACAGTGACTTAAGAAAGAAGTTTCTTTCTTCCTCATGCAAAAATCCAGAGAGTCAGTTGAGAGCTCTAGAATCTTTTGGGATCCTGGCCTCTTTAGCTCTGCAAGGTAGTGCCCTCTGCATGTAGCTCACATGTTTATGGAGTAAGGTCATGTTCCAGCCAGCAGATTGACGCACAGACTGCAGGGTAGGATGGGGGGCAAAGGGAGCAGGAGCAAAGGGTTCAATCCAGCAGCTCATAAAAAAGGTTCCTGAAAATGGCCACAGACAAACCAGAAATCAGAACTATGGCCATTTTCAGACACAGAAGGGTCTGGGAAATAGCCTTTTTTCAAAGGGACATTGGACTCACATAAAAGTTCCATCATGGAGCTGTGCATGGTGGCACACACCTGTAATCCCAGCGGCTTGGGAGGCTGAGATAGGAAGATCGTGAGTTCAAAGCCAGCCTCAGCAACAATGAGGCACTAAGCAACTCGGTGAGACTCTGTCTCTAAATAAAATACAAATAGGGCTGGGGATGTGGCTCAGTGGTCAAGTACCCCTGAGTTCAATCCCTGGTACCAAAAAAAAAAAAAAGAGGCCCCATCATGGGAGAAGGGAGAGCAGTTGAAGAACAACAGGATAAGCAAATATTGAATATCTAATTTTTGAGTCACATTTTGGAGGTCTTATTTTCTTTCTTTGTTGTAAGTAAGCTCAGTTCAGTCAATGAATTTGTCTTTCATTCTGCATAGACTTTAAGCGAATAAGGTCCCTCAGACACGTATGATAGCAATCATAATGAAATGATATGGAAAGCTCGATTTGGTGCTATACTGGTTAACTTTAAAAATTAACAAATTTATGAAATATTCAAAAATAATTTATAATATTTAAGTCAACATTGAATTTGACTGTAACTAATTAGACCAATAATGATTTTAGAGATTACTCAAGGCAGAAAATTTTTTACTGACTCTTAGTTTTTGGATTCAATTTTTTTTTTTTTACTTGTTGAGTAGTTGTTCTATCTTTTTTTATTAATTTAATTTGTTTCCTCACTATAGTGAATAGACTCAAGTGAGAGAATCAGTAATACTTCATCAGAGTAGATACTGTCACCAACTTTCATCTTTAGGTAGTTGAACCAATTTTTTTTTCTAATAATTAGAGTATTTTCTGAGCTAGATGAGATTTTATACTTTTGCTCAAAATAGTAAGTAACCATAAAAATCTTAGGAAGACAATGTAAAAGTCTGAAAGTAGAATTTGTCATAGGTGAAGGTAAAAGACCAGAAAAAAGACCATTATAGTCAGAAGTCAAAGGAAGTAAAAATATATATTTTTGTACCTATGACATTAAACTAGAAAACCACATTTATTTGCCAGGAGGGATGTCTAAATAATCACTGATGGATTGCTGAAGAACTTTGGTCATAAGTGTTAGAAATGACCAAAAATGACCCAGGTGGAAGTATCTGTCTACCATGTGCAGTAGAAAAGTCAACTGAGCCATGAGCGCCACCTACAAGGCCTCCTTGTAGTACATGTAACTCTTCCTTAGAAAATTATGTGATCGTTGTAACAATATTGGAAAGTTAGTGTACTCACGAAACACCATGGAAGTTCACTGGATCTAATGCATGCTGATGAAGTCAGTAATAAACTAACCTTAAAGTTCTCAGTTGAGACAGGATCAGACCATTTCTGGTTTATTCATACAATGAAGACCAAATTCTTGAAATGGACATTTTACAGCTCATTTCCTAGGAGATTATGTCTGTCACAGGCAGTGAAACAGTGAATTGGTGATGCTGTCCACTAATTTGTATGAAGATCAATGTCAAACATTTGAACCCTTAATTTAATACCTGAAATTTAAGTGATGGTACACTATTACTAAAGACATAAATTGTTAGATAATCACAACATACATATCCTAAATGATGTTTTTTGAAGAATTTTAGAAAAATCTAGCATTACTGTTTTGTTATTTAATTTACAGAACACGATAATTCCCACAGTTTTCACAGTTCCTCAAAAAACTATTTTGGAAACACAGTGGGTGAAAGGCTAGAACACGGAGGAAGACTGTTCCCTGTTGAAACCGGATCAAGAACAAATAGACTTCCTCATCGACACACAGATTTTAACAATACTTAAACATTTCCAGTTTTAGTAGTCACTAGACATAAAACTTAACTAGCAGTTCTGAGAAGTTCTCTTTGGGGACAACTTATTAGGGTTAAATGAGCAGGTCATATGAATTTATGGATTCCCTTTATATCTTTATAACACTGTGAACATTTCTAGGCGTTTCCAGGCAGGGAAACATGGGATGTGGGTTGTTATCCATCACCTTTGAACATGGAATATTGCTTACCCTCCCAGCTGATTGGTTGTGAGAGTAAAATACGGCCTTATGCAGGGGGAAAAAATGACACTGATTTCAGCTTCTTCATGAATTAGTAAAATGGGGGGTACTGTCTTTAGCAATTCAGCTTGAGCAAAATTTTCTTATATTTTTCAACCCTACATGTTAATTTCAATATTTTATTTGCAGTTGTTGAGAAATTTGATTTAAAATTATTTTTCTTTAAATAGGGATATTGCATTCACCTGTGCAGTTGCTTGCTTCACTCTTACACCCCACCACATGAAATCCAGGCCATGTGGGGCCCCTCATCAGGCTGTGGGCCCTGGCACAGAGTGTGTCACTTCAGAGAAAGGAGCACCTTTTTCTAATTTATAAAAGGATATTTACTGCCTGTCAGCAGCCCCACTACCACATGAGGGAATAAACTGAGTATTTTTCTAGCAAATGTTCTTTCTTTTAAACACAACTCTCTCTACTTTAACTGTGGGTCATGGGAGATAGGGGTGAAACAGCAACTCAAAGAGTCAACGGAACCAGATTCATGCACAAGTCCCTAATGAGCATGCGGCCTTCCTTGTGAGGCAGCATTTCTAGATGGGGGAACAGCGGTGTGCATGGTGGCAAGTCATGTTGGCACACACTTAGGATACAAAAGAGAGTGAACGTAGGGACATAAGGGCATTTCGCCCTCCTCCTATTTAGCATTGGTTCGAGTTCCTGCTAACCTGATCCATTTTTATTTTTCTCAAGCCTCTAGCTTTTTGGTTCTTGTTTATTGCTATCCTCTATCTTCCTATTTTCTTTATTTTACTTTAGAGAGTAGTCCTATTGTACACTTCCTTTTAGAAAGGAAGAGATCAAACTAAGAAAAGACAGGAAATTAATTGGTTAAAAGAAGTCCAGATGATTAAATAAAATAGACTTTGGAATCATTATCTATAACCTTGAGATAATATATTTAACTCAAAACTAATGTTTTTGCGTGAAAGCCTTTAAATTAACCATAGAAGCTTTCTTTTAAATTTAATTTGAAAGCAGTGGGTATAAGGAGCCTCTGCTATAAAAATGTAATTGAGTACAATATAATTTTAATAATGTTGAGATTGAACTTTTATGGCCAAGCTGTGATTTGATTTCCCCAGTCTAAGTTTAACCAAATTTAACTTCTGAAACTACTTTTGGCTTCCTCTAAGTTTTAATATATTTAAAATATTATTTATTTTCATTCAATCCTAAGAGTTTATTTAATTTTCTAAGCAGACATTTTTTCTAGCCCTGTTCTTTTGAAAAGCAAGTACAAGGTGAATGGTATGTATCAGTGGTGGTGGCTCACATGTGTATTCCTAGCTACTCAGGAGGCTGAGGCAGGAGGATCTCTTGAGCCCAGGAGTTTTAAGGCCCCCAACTCAAATGAACAAGGATGAATGGTGTGTTTCATGAATGTTTGACGGCTGGTGTTGTTGTGGTTCACTTTCAGAATCTTTTTGGCAGTAATAGCCTTGATGGAGGAAGCAGTCCTATGATCAAGCCCAAAGGAGACAAGCAGGTGGAGTATCTTGATCTAGATTTAGATTCTGGGAAGTCCACACCACCGCGGAAGGTGAGTGAAACCTCATTCCACAAATGTAGTTAGCGTGCACTTTCAACCAGCATTGTCTCCTTGGGGAAACCTTTATTATGTTTAATTTAAATTTAATGAAGTCTATTACTTAATGCACTTTTGAAAACTGCAACAAAATGGTGGAGTCTGAGTCGGGCACAATGGCACACGCCTGAAATCCAGAGACCCGGGAGGCTGGATCAGGAGGATCACAAGTTTAAGACTAGCTCAGAAACTTAGAGAGACCTTGTCTCAAAGAATAAAAGGGGCGGGGAAATGTGGCTCAGTGGTGGAGCACCCCCTGGGTTCAATCCCTAGTATTCCGCCCCCCCCTCAAAAAAAAAAGAAAGAAAAAATTATGGAGACTGATAAAGTAACTTTCTTCTTTCTGATGGTATGGCGGTTAGACATTTTCTGTTTTTATCACTGAGATGATTGCTTAACAGATTCTTAAGGTAAACAATATCTTCATTCTTTTTTAGAAAGTTATCTCAAATTATGTGTTCTTTCTGTCCAAAATTTCAATTTTTTTCTTTTGTTAAGCCCACGATTAGTAGTATTAGTAGGAATCCATTTTGTATACAGCATTGACTTACGTCTTCCTACCTGCTTACCAACTTCTTTGTCTATCACTCTTTTTGTATCTTAGACTCTCCTTCTTGTAATTATTTTTCTTCCTTCTGAAATGTAGTTTTTAGAAGTTTCTTTAGTGGAGCTCTGTGGGTGGTAAATCTTTTCCACTTTTTGTTTGTTTGTTTTATGTGATGTCTTGATTTTGCTTTATCTTGGAAAACAAGACAGGTTCAGCAGACAGCTCTTGACTGACAGTAACTTTTTCACCACGTAGAAGACACTGTTCCCCCTTCACCTTGCTTCTGTCCCTTGTGTTGGAAAGTATGTTGTAGTCCGATGGCCGTTCCTATGCAGGTCACCTATCCTTTCTGTCTGGCTGATTTTAAGCTCTTTCCTCTGTATGTGCCATTTTGCAGTTTCCCAACAATGTCTAGACATGAATTGCTTTTTATTTGTCCTGCTTAGTAGAAGTTGTGCTACTATTTCAATTTCTGGGTTTGCAATTTTTTCTCAACTCTGGAAAAATGTCAGTCATTCTTTTTACTGTTTATTCTCTCCTCTGACATTTCTGATTAGACATGTTAGGATGTCTGTATTTTCTAGATCTCTTACCATTCTTTTATAATTTCTGCTTGTCATCTCTCTGTGCTTAATCTCTCTGTGCTTAAAGATCTTTCTTTACATCTTTCACCAAGTTCACTAATTCTCTATTCAATTATTTTATATTTCATTTCTAAAGTACAGTTTGCTGATTTTAACAACTTCGGATTTCTTATTTGTTTTATTCCTTTTATATTTATGCTTTAGTTCCTTTAAACATTTTATACGTATATGTTTTATGCTGTCAATGCAGTAACTTTGATAGTCTGAAGTCCTTGGAGATTTAAATTTGTGTTTATTGTTTCTGCTTTTTTTTTTTTTTTTTTTTTTGATCAGGTTAAGTAACCACTGATCATCCCCAGCCCTTTTTTTATTTTATTTAGAGACAGGGCCCCACTGAGTTGCTTAGGGCCTTGTTAAGTTGCTGAGGCTGACTTTGAACTCTCAATCCTCTTGCCTCAGCCTCCTGAGCTGCTGGGATTACAGGCATGCGCAACTGCGCCCAGCTGCTAACTCATTCTTTTTGGCTTGTGTGTTTGTACATTATCTAATTGCAAATCCTGAGGACCTAAATTTCCTCCAGAAAAGATTTGTATTACCTTTTGCTAGGAAGCAGGAGCTACTACTACCATAGTTCATTCCCCTCGGGGACCACAGCTTAACAGGATAGCCTTAGGTTCAGCATGACCTCCTTCCCCCAGCCTCCTGGTGGCTCTGCTAGATTGACATCCATCCTGAAGACAAGGTTTCTTTCCATGCCTTAACCTCTCCCTCCATTTTTCTTATAATTAGCTATTTTCTTTCTAGTGAGCCCAGCAATGCATTAATAATCACATTTAAGTTATCTAGTGTCAGGCTGGATTTGGAGAGTCAAAGAGCATCAGCCCATGTAATTGATTGTTCTTGAACTGTTGCTTTGCAAAAATCAACAATGAAGCAAAACAAACAAAAAACCCACACATTTCTTAGCTCTGAAAGTAAACACTGGATTTCAAAAAAAAAAAAAAAAGTCAAGTTAAAGGGAGAATCAATCTGCATATGTTAAGATGAACTATAATACGGCAAAGTACATTTTACTGCCATGTATAACTAAAGAGAACAAATTAAAAATTTTAAAAAAAATGAACTAGGTATTTTCTGTCCGTTTCCTATGAATAACATCTCTGATGGGGGTGTTAGTGTGAATTCTTCTATAATTTTAAATTAAAGAGAAAATTTAAAATTATAGAAGCATTGTTAAACTGAGGTAGTTAATGGTATTTCTTTGTGAGCCAATAGAATTTCAAGAATATCCATAGTGCATGTATGTCCGTTTTAAGACTGAATTTCACTCAGTCCCACTTTACTTTTTTAATGTACAATTTTTGTTTTTTCTTTGCATTTTAGCAAAAGAGCAGTGGCTCAGGAAGCAGTGTGGCGGATGAGAGAGTGGATTATGTCGTGGTTGACCAGCAGAAGACCCTGGCTCTGAAGAGTACCCGAGAGGCCTGGACGGATGGAAGACAGTCCACGGAATCAGAAACACCAACCAAGGGTGTGAAGTGAACATATCACCTTGAACAAAAGAGAACCAAATGTAGAGAGAAATCCTGTTTGAAGAGGACGCTAACTAGATCCTCAAGTGAACAGAGTTGAAGTCAAGGGACTTGTCACACATAATCAAGCAGTTGGGATTGGAAATGGTGCTTTGTGGTATCTGAACAATTTGTAACATGTAAATAATGTGGAAAAATAGTCGCATTTAGCTCCCAGAGAAACATTGGTCCCGTAGTTAACACATTTGTAGTATTACTGTATTTATGTACTTTTTCATTTAAAACGTTGGTTTGGGTCTTCTCGATGAACCTTAGTGGAATTCCTTTGGGAGTTCCTGGTTTTTTTTTTCCTCACACTACTCTCTATAACAATACTAAGTTAACTAAGCTACTTTTAGATCTGGAAATTGCTGTTGAAACTACAGTCTAACAACGTGAAAATGAGAAGTAGGATCCCAAATTAGCTTTCTACCTGACATCACAGGTGGTAACCATTAGCTTGAACTACCAAGTCCTCCACTGCCTTTCAGTATGCTGAGGATAGTGTATATATTGGTGTCAGGACCTAGTTCTCCGGTTCATGTACATTTAGTTTTTAATGGAGGGACTTTGTTGTATTTTGTTAATGACAGTGTTTTTGGTTCATTGAGTGAAGATTCTGCCGGGTGGGATCTTGCACCTTTGAAAGACTGAATATAAATTACACTATCAAGTAACCCTGAAAATCATTGACAGCGTGCAGTGATGACATGCTCTTACGCTTGTTAACATGTATTGAGCATTACTTGCAAAAGGTAGATAATATAACTAATCAGGTACGTACCGGGCACTGAAGTGCTAATACACTGATCAGGTTTAGACAATGAGCTTTAGTTGTGTTGTTCTTCATCCTAATATTGGTTTCCAGTGTGGAGTTAAGGAAACAGTTGACATTCACTGTTAGTAATAGCAACATACTGTGATTCTTAATTAGACAGTAATTGAGATTTATTACTCTTAAGAATGAAATTCTATCTTTTGACACCATAGTGCCCTTTCTATGATTTTATTTTACTTAATATTCTTCTTGGCCTTATATTTAAATTCCTATGCAATTAATGTTTTATATCTTCATTTTTTAAAAAAATAGATGTTATATTAGTGATTCTCATGTAGTACCTGTTGTTTTTCCAGTAAAAGAATTTAGGATTTTGTACTGTGATTTTCTTCACTGCCCCTGTTCGTGAAATATCAGAGCCTTGCTGTAATGTGAAGTCTTCTACCCACGGACCCCTTCCAACCAGATTTCCAAAACCACCAGAGGAATGGCATAATTCTGTCTCACCTATAACATGGTCCTGTGTCACAGATGTCAAGACCACAAACTGTTGTGAGACTACAGTTATATTCATCTTTCTTGGCTTTGCAACACACTTTAGAAAACAGATATAGTTGTTTGGGGTTCTTTTTTATTACCTAAGTCACGGACAGTCTCTTATGTATTGATTTCAGACTTACAGCTTTTGGGGGGGGGGCATTGAAATGGGGTGCCCACCACTGAGGCACAACCCACTCCATTCAGACCTCTCACTGTTGCCTGAGTACACAGATGTGCCCTGATTTCTGGCCCTTTGGCCCTAGTACTGTGCCTGATCCATGTGCTGGGTTAACTTCCCAGTCCACAAACTATGTGCTAATTACAAGATGAATTATAGACTAGTAATATGTGATGCTTTTAAATGTTTGCTTTATTTTAAACAAAAACTAAAACCCAGAACTGAATTTTGAGGTGGATTTTTAAATAAAAAAAGATCTGTTTGATTTTGGTGTGCAAGCTGTTTTATAATAAAACCACAAAATAAAAATCTAAAATCATTGAAATATGCCTAAACTGTCAAAACACACAATACAGTTGATGTGTAAAGGTACACCATTGACATTTTACCTGGAGGAGGAACGTATTTTGAAGTTTAAAACCCAAAACAAATATATGATTAATTCAGAAATAAAAATATTTCCTTAAAGCTGCCTATATGGAGGGTCTAAAGCCATTATGAATGTTTTCAGTGTAGTTTCTCAGCTTTTTTACAAGTTACTCACTTTTTGTAGATCTGCAACACTCTGTTTTTTAGAATACTTACCATTATGCTGAAGAATGGAGAGTCTGGGGGATGTAGCTCAATGGTAGATCATGTACTCATTAGCATTTGTGAGGCCCTGGTTCAATCTACAGCACCAAAAAAATAAAAGAGAATTGAAATGTTATTATAAAGGTAGTTTGCTTTAAAAAACTAAATCACATTAAATTCTGTATTAACAAATTAAATTAAAAGATGGTTTCTTTAGAATATTGTTTTTCAAACATTTTTCAGGACTAGAATATTTTTAAATTTTTAATGTATTATTTCAATACATATAGCCCTCCAAGGTCGATTTTATCTGTATAAATGTTTTTCAAGTTTCTGCTTATGTTAACTTGTTAGTTCATTACTATAAAAAACAAGATTTCTGAATAACACAAATGTGGAGTTATGGTGGAGGAAATCTTAGCGGTTTGAGTGCTATCAATAAAACACGAATATAAGTGCTTATAATAACAGTCCAAACACACATCTCTGGAGGAGTCTTTAATTAGAGATAGCTGAAATAATCTTCCAAAGACTATATAAAGATATAAATTATCTTGGTAGTAGAAGTTAACACATAAGCAGTCTCCAGTGTGGTAAAATAAGGTATGTGTTAGGATGTGTGGTTTTAGTAAGTTTTTAAATATGCACTTAAACTAAATTGAATGATATCCTTTTAACTCACCTGTAAATCACCTCCAAGAAGCTAGATTTCAGGGAGGCATGGGATGAAAACCACTCATTACCCATGTAATGTTAGAGATCAGAAATCTTTCCCCCAGATTTGATGTTTCATATCTTGTATTCCTTATTTGAAAAAATTTTTAAGTTTTTTAAAATTTTATTTATTGATTGATACTGAGGATTGAACCTGGAGGTGCTTTACCACCAGACCACATCCTCAGACATTTTTATTTTTATTTTGAGACAGAGACTAAGTTTCTAAGTTGCTGGGATTATAGGTATGTGCCACCATACCCAAGACAAAATTGTAAGATCTTATATAGGTTTGAATGCCAAAACACAGTTCTGCTTTCAAAAGTCAAAACTCATACTTTAAAAATTGAAGCTATTTAACCCACAGCAGGTATCACTCAAGCTATATAAGATGTTTTAATCTACACTCTAGTTTATACATTTTTTACTGTGAGCATTTTAGAGAATTCCATAAAGGAACTATGGGTGTGTTTAATCAGATACTAAGTTTAATTTGATATAGAAATGCTGTTGTACATTAAGGTCATAATTTCTTCTGGAGTTTTTATATTAATTAATGGGGTTCACAATCTTCCTCTTCACAAGTGTATTTAAACTGGAAATTGAATATCAGGGTTGGTTTTTCTTTTTCTACTACTGGAGAGTTGTCTGCTTTCCCCCTACAGAGAAAACAATACTTTTTAAATATTTTGTTAAAATGTTAACTGCTTGTTTACTGTGCCATAGATTCTGATTGTAATTCTCTGTTTTCTCAAAAACTCTTAATGCCTCCTTCCTTTGGTCCACTCCAAGTGTGAATGACTGCAAAATTTTTGAGGCTTTACAGTGAGGTGCCCCTGTCTGTGGATCATTCTGGTAGGTCTCGCCCTCTGCTGTGGAGTAGTCAGGTCAGTGACAGGGTTGTATACGTGGCCAAATCATCTGGATTTACAGAGCAAGAAAGAGACATATATCCCAGGATAACAGTTACTTACAGTCACACTTGATGTTATGCGTAAATTTTTATGTGATTTTAAATACTGAACCATGAAATGAAATGCCACAATGTAAATGAGTATCGATGGCATCATGGCCTTGAAAACCAATGTCATATTATTGAGATAATTGTTTTCAGTCTTTCTAAATATGTTTATGTACTATTATGATTTGAAATAATTTAGTCTGTCTTCCCTTCCCATAGATTTATTTTTGTTTAGGTTCAGTATAATCTCTTGAGTTTCTATAAACTAATTCACCAGGGGATTAACATAGTTTCTACTTCCTTTACCTAAGGAAGACAAAGTTCTGACCGTTATGCATGAGTTCTGGAACCTAAGTTGATTATTGATGTCTTCCCACATTTCAGCAGCAAAATCTTATGTATAAATTTACTTCTCCCCTTTTGCACATCTTCTTTTGTAAAGATCCAATTGTAGATATTTTATGCTACCCAAATAAAAACTTTCAAACAGTTTGGTTTCAGGACCTTTAAGTAGATGATTTGGATACTGAGATTGTGAACTAAGGACATATACATGTGTATTTGCAAATATTTTAATAAGGATGGATTCCAACCCTTCCATAGAGGTTCCTGGATCAGAACCTCATTTCTGCTATTAATTGAACTTATTAGACCCATGTCTTTAGGGTCACACATTTTCTGCACAGAGATTTCACTAAGTCATGCTAAAATATGACCTGCTCTAAATAGGAAACTCTTCTAAGACACATTAATATGCCATTATCCCTTCCTCCAGCCAGTGCCGATAGCATTTTATAGAGTAAAAGACCAAATAAATAAGGGTCTATATGCAGCCTTAACCATGAGAAGCTGCATCTTATACATAAAATATGATTTGCGCAGTGATAATGTTTATTTCTATGAGAGTCTCCAAACATCCCTAGCACTTCATAAAATCCCAGGAATTGGGACAAGTCAGTCCTTGGGTCTGCTCAGCCCAGCATTTTGCAGCTTTAAATCACTTTGGGGGAAGTGAGGTGGTCTTCTTTGAGGTCATCCTTGCTTTATCTGTTTTTCTGTCATCTTATACATAAGTGAAACATCTGGGCATTTGCATGTAACTTCTTTGTGAAAAAAAAAAAGCTATATCCTCTGATAGAGAAATGCTTTTTGAATTTCAGTTTTGTACAGAATAACTTGGCAACTCTGTGAATATTGTAATACTTTTAAAAGCTAGGTCAGCAGATGGAGACATTTGATTATTTTGTGATTGGTTACAGTCCCTGCTTTAGTATTACATTAATTTTTTCCCCCAGTACTGGAGATTGAACCCCAGGCACTGTACCATGGACCTACATCCTCAGTGCCTGTTTCTTATTTTGAAACAGGGTCTTGACAAGTTGCTAAGGCTAACCCAGAACGTGGGATCCTTCTACCTTCATCTCCCAAATAGCTGGCATTATGGGTGTGTGCCACTGCACCCAGCTACATAAAATTTTTTAAGAAAATAAACAATTGCCTATAGAAAATGAAGTTTCTAAGATGTATTTCTGCACTTTACTAGACAGAATGGTATTACTCCTAGTTATTTTCGGTGATTCACTCTTAGATCAGCATGTCTCCTCCTAATTTTTTTTATCCATGTAGTGCCCAGAACATCTGGAATACTCTCTATATATGACATATATAGTATGGAAATTTTTAAAATCAGATATCCCCCAAAAGTTTACTTTGTCAAATATGGATAGTGGTGGTTAATTTTCTGCCAACCAGCTAAGCTATAGCATCCATGTGTGGTCAAAAACTGAGATGTTCCTGTGAAGGTGTTTGTAGATGTGATTCATGTTTATAATCAATTGATTTTAAGTAAAGCCTAACATGGGTGTGCCTCATCTAGTCAGTTGAAGGCTTTCAGAGCAGAATCAGGAGCTTCCCAAAGAAGGAGTTCTGCCTTAAGACCGAACATTAGAATGGGAGATGTTAACTCATTGTTAGAGCACTTGCCTAGCATGTGCAAGGCCCTGGGATCCAAACCAAACAACAAAAAAACTACCACATTAATTTTGCCTGAGTTTCTAGTCTCCGACCTACTCTGTAAATTTCAGACTTGCCAGACCTAATTATCTTCAAGTCTTCCTTAACATGAAACTCATCTGCCTATCTCTTCTTCTCCCTTTCTCTTTCTTCTTTCTTTCCTTTCTTCCCTCCCTCCCTCTTCTTCTCTCTCTTCCTCTTTCTCTCTCTCTCTCCATATAAAATAGATATGTATTTGTTTAATATGTGAAATAATAACAATTGATACAGAACAGCAAATACATGATTCTGTTTTCAACAATGAACTACATATGACAACTTATGAATTAAACTGAGTGCTTCTTAATACCCAGCAATGATTTTAAAGTTTAATTTGAAATATATTGGCAGTCTTTGCTCCAAAATATTTTTCTCTTCTATAATACTCGATGAATTAATTTCCAAAGTCATATACTGACAGCCATGTTTCCACTCTGGCCTTAATTTACTGTCTTCTAGGAATTGTTAAATTGTCATCTCCAGTGAGGAAAACCAGAATGATAAGAATGCAAAGATGATTGGGTTCTGGCTGAGTAGGGTCAAGGATTCAGTTAGGACAAAAGTTAATTGGAAGCACTGGATTGTAGTTGTCACAAGCCATAACCCTAATGCATATATATTTAGTTATCTCTAACTTAAATTTCCTTTCTGTACATAAAACAACACCCTACATACCTCTAAAACTATTTTTAATCAACTTTGCAAAAACATTGAGCCTGAAAGTTGTTTATTCCAATCCTCAAAGGAGTAATTTTTGTCTTTCTTTCTCTCTCTCTCTCTCTCTCTCTCTCTCTCTCTCTCTCTTTTTTTTTGTGGTTGGGGGGTGGTTTTGGTGATTGAACTCTGCACCATATGCATACTAGGCAATCATTCCACCACTGATCTGCATCTCTATTCCTCTTTTTTAAAAAGGACAGGATCATGGTACATTGCCCAGGCTGGCCTCAAACTTGCAATCTTCCTGC